ATCACGTTTAGAAAAAGTACACTTAAGAGTTTTTATTTATTTTTAGAGTGTCACATCATACTTCCACATTTTTAAATTTGAAAAAAGCATACTAAGGAGTTTTTAATTTTTTTGGAGTGTCACATCATATCCGCCACGTTGTTACATTTGAAAAAAGTACATTAAGGGATTTTTAATTTTTTTGGAGTGTCACATTAATATCTGTCACATTAGAATATCACATTATACTTGTCAAATTAATAAAAGGGTATAGTTGTCCACCAAAATACTATCAAAATAAAAAATAGGACTACACGGAAAGAAACTTTCCACTAATAAGACTTAACAAATCAATAAAAAAAACTTGGGACTAATTGAACTACTTGTGTGTGAGATGAGATTTATTGATAAATATCTCTTAAATTTATTATTATTATATTATTATTAATAAATAATAAAAATTTAAAAATATTATTAACTTTGTTAAAACAATGCACGATTATGGCCTAATTTGGGAATATAGTTAAAATTCAAATTTTAAGTTTTAATTTATTTTGAGTCACATTATTTTTTTATTTTTTTATATATATTGAAAAATAAATTAACAAATTAATTTTTAACCAACTTTCTAAAATAATCCTAAGCCTAAGGGTGTAATTTTGGCCCGTGGCCCATGGACAGCCCGAGGTGGGCCCGGCTTGTTTAGGTTCAAGCCCAAGCCCATCCCAAGGCCTTGGGCCAGGGGGTGGGCCCGGCTTGTTTAGGTTCAAGCCCAAGCCCATCCCAAGGCCTTGGGCCAGGGCCAGGGCCATTGTTTTGCAACCCGGCCAGGCCCATGAGCCCGCTCAAGGCCCACCCAAAAGCCTGGCCCACCTGAGACTCAGTGTTATTTTTAATAAAAAATAATAAAATTTTGGTGAAAAAAATAAAAAAAAAATTAAAAATTATTTAGGCCCGCCCAAAGCCTGAGCCCAAGTCCAGGGGCTAGGCCCGAGGCCCAACCCACTGGCCTGCCCAAAGCCCAAATACCCCATGGGCCTAGGCTTGGGCATGGGCTTAGTTTTCTGACCCGTGAACCTGCCCGGTTCGACTCAATTTTTGGCAAGAACCTGCAAAGCTCGACATGAGTCCGGCCCGATTCGAGCCGAATGGACCGAGCCGGGCCAAAATTACACCCCTACCTAAGCCGAGAAGATGGCAGTGACGTTGCATTTTGATACAGTTTGGGTTCCGCCTATCACGTTTGACCACAGTTGACCATTTAAATATGGAGTAGTTTTTTTTTTAACAAATTAAAAGATTAAAAATAATTAAAAATGGAGGGTGTAACTTCTTCTTTTTTTATTTTTTTATTTTTTGTGTAATAAAATCAGAGCAAAAATTGTACTCTACTCTCACATTTTGGTAATTTTTTTTTTTTTATCATTTTCCATTGTAATTTAATTTTTCAAGCTTTTTTCTACCATTTTTTTATACTATAATTTGTTTATTAACTTATGTGTTAATACTCTATTCATTTAATAAGTCTCTTCAATAATATTTATTATTAACGTTTCATTTGTTTAGGTAGAAAATAATTTTTAATGAAAAATATTTTTACTTTATTTTTTTTCAAATATATTTGGTGGTAGTAGTGGTGGTGATAGTGGTAGTGGTGGGATAAAAATGGAGGTGGAGGTGGAGGTGGAGGTGGAGGTGGTAATGGCAACGATGATAGTGGTGGCAACTATGGTGATGGGGGTGTGGTGGTGAGATGAGAGCGACAGTGATAGTGTGGTGACATTAGTAAAACTTGAGTTTCGAAAACGTTTTTCACCTTTTAAAAGTAGAAAATATTTTCTGCTCATATAAGCTTATTTTTCATTTACCATGAAAAATATTTTTTATTGGTTTTCATTTTCTATTATATCAAATGCCAAAAAATATAAAATATTTTTTAAAAAAATATTATCTACTCAAACAAACAGAGCATAAGAGAATTTTAGAGTAAATCTCTTTCCTTGAGCTTCTACTAACATTATGTTTGGATTGAGTGATTTAGAGAGAAAAGAAAAGAAATTGAGAGATATCTATTTCTCTTATTTGTTTGAATAACTTAAGTGGAGAGAAATTGAGAAAAATAAAGAAAAATTGAGATAAACTCATTTATTTTATAACCCTCATTTTCAATATTCCCAAAAGTGGAGAGATTGGAAGAGAAAAGAAACCAATAGATTCTTATATTTTCATAATACCAATTTTGTCCTTGTAAAAATAAAAAGAAATAAAATGATTGACACCCATGTCCTCAGGAGCTTTTTATATCCAGCACAAGGGCTTTTGATAATATAACATAAAACAAATTTTTATTCTTCTTATGAAATCTAATCAAATAAAAAGGAGAGAAATCACAATAATTTCTTTTCTTTTATATTTTACTTGTCCAAACAAAAAATAAAGAAATCACAATCATTTCATTTTTTTTATTTTTTCTTATAACTTAAATAATCATTCCTTTATTTTCCCTTCAAGGTTCCCAAATAAATGTTGTATTGATGCGAGTCTAATGTTGTGTTTGGTTAGAGAATTTGTGGAGGGATTTGGAAAGGAAAAAAGAAAAGGTATGTGAAATTATGTGAAACATAAATATATTTTATTCACATTTCACCTACATTTTTTATTTTCTTTTTTAAATCTCTCTCCAAATTTTCTAACCAAACACAACATAAATGTTCACCAATATAGGAAAATAGTATAGTAAATCACTTTTCATAGATTTCTAATAAATGTCGGATGTGAATCTGAATGTTGACCATCATACAAATGTTAATTATGATTCTCCAAAATCATGATTAAAGGTGAATGTGGATTGTGATATAAATATAAATGTTGACATTTAACACGTATTAGTGATTTTTTTTTTTTATTGCAAGTGTTCATACTAAATTTCAAAAGTGTTTCCTCTTAAAATCAAACACCAAATTAGATTTTGATTACAATGTCAAAACAAATGATATATAGTTGAAAGGGTTTTTTTTTTTTTTTTTTTTTTTTTTTTCCATCTGTTTCACTTGTATATATGATTTAATGATTTATCATATGAACAAAATCTGATGATGTATAAGTTTTCAACATGAGATTTATATTGTTAATATAGTGTTTATATATGAGATAGTAAACACAAAATAATTTGGGTTAACTTTTTGACTTTTTATGAAAAAATGTGTATTAAAAAATTGTAAAAATTGGTTTGTAAGGGAAAATTAGGATTGGGAATTGTGCAGCCGTAATTGTTGATTTTTGGTGAATAATGTTAACTTTTTAACTTTTTGAGTAACTTTTTGGCTTTTTCGCTTTTTCTCAATATCCCAAACTTGGCCTAAATTTCAAAAGTGTTTCCTCTTAAAATCAAACACCAAATTAGATTTTGATTACAATGTCAAAACAAATGATATAGTTGAAAGGGTTTTTTTTTTTTTTCCATCTGTTTCACTTGTATATATGATTTAATGATTTATCATATGAACAAAATCTGATATGATGTATAAGTTTTCAACATGAGATTTATATTGTTAATATAGTGTTTATATATGAGATAGTAAACACAAAATAATAATAATAATAATAATAATAAAATGTAATTATCAAAACATTACACTAAGGAGTGGACTAGATCAATCGTACTAAATGATCATCTCAAAACAAGCTCTAAACGAAGTATAATTTTCAAACTCATCAATCAGATTATTACAAAAATATAAAATAAAAATTCAAAGTTCTTGAAACATTCCTGCATACAAAACCTAGTAGTTAAAAATCAAATAGTTACCTTTACAACGTACTATTTTTAGATTCTAAAATTCAAAACAACAGGTATACATCAAATGGCATAAGTTGAGTGTTTGAAAAAATCAAACAATTTCTAAAAGTTAGAGCATTTATATATATTTTTAATATATTATTGCATAATCAAATAAAATATATATATATATATATAACATTTTAATTTCATAAAAATATAAACATAGTATCAAACAAAAGCAACAAACAAAAGTAATAAAACTGGATACACATTACACAAAGCAGAATTCTCTTCTGTATTAAACAAAAGCAATAAGAAAACTGGTTTTAAACCACCAAAAGCAACAAAACTCCATGAACAGAAACAACAAACAAAAGCATAGCAGCAGCAACATGGAATAAGGGTTTAACTTTTATATGGAATAAGAAATGATATTATATGGGAGGCTCTGTAATATAAAATAGACTACTTGTAGACGGTTCGGATCGGTTCCAATTCGGAATCATGGGATTCAATTTGGAACCGATCCGTGGCTTGCGGACTTTTAAATAGTAAATCGCTGAGCTAAAAACTTTTTTATCTCAAACTTAACTTCACACACACCCGAAACACCCTTCCTAAACTCTGAAAAAAGTAGGGGTGGCTAAGTAGGCCTGCGGGCCGAGACCTACACCCCTTATTTGGGAGCAAGGATCCTCTAAAATTTTTTTTTTTCTAGAGTTTCCTAGAGTGGTGTGTTGTATGGTTGAGATTTAATGACAAGTCAGATCAATTTTTTAGCATTAAATCTCACTCATACAACACACCACTTTAGGAAACTTTAGGAAAAAAAAACTCTAGAGGATCCTTGGTGCTTATTTGGTTTGCTTTTCAAAAAGTGGATTTTTGTGTGTTTTTTTTTTTTATATTTATAATTTTAAGTGAATTTTATAAAAAATTATATTTTAATTATTTTTTTAAACTTTTCAAATGCATTTAAAAAATAAAATATGTGAACAAACCTAAAAAAGCAAAGATTAGCCCAAAAAGTTGAAGAAGAAAAAAAATATCAATGCAAAAATTATAAAAAACCAAAAATTAAAAATAATTTTTAAATACCAAATCAAACAATTGTAAAGATGAAAGAAAATTCAACGGATCCTTACCTACTCTGTCTCTTTAACAGAAAATAATAAACAAAAAAACAGTTCTTCTTTGTATTTTTCCACACTTGTGAAAAAAAAAGGAAAGGAAAATTCAAGGAACCTCACCCTCCCCAGCTTCCTTCTCATCTCTCTGAAATAACATATATAAATACCCCCAAATTTCTCTCTATAATGCATGAAATCAACCCACACCATTTCTCCTAACTCTCTCTCTCTCTCTCTCTCTCTCTCTCATGAACTGTTGGAAAGAGACGAAATTACAACAGAGTAAGAGAGCGAAACAACTTCCAAATCGCTCTCTACTTAACAAAACCATTTAACCCTTCAACAAAATCCTAAACAAGTACGCTTACTTTCTTTCACTTTTCCATGCAGGGTCCTGTTTGATTGTGTTTCTGTTTTCTATTTCCGTTTTTCGTGTTTTCAGAAACAGAGTAATGAAAAAAAAAAAAAAAAACCATCATTTTCATATCGTTAATCGTTATCATGTTGTACAAAGCTTTTTTGTGTTTCCTAAAAGTAAGTTGTTTTGTTGAAAACTTCCACAGAAAATATTTTCAAAAAACAGTTTTTGTCAAATAAATTCTTTTAGTGTTGTTTTATAAAAATTTGGAAATAAAAAACGAAAACAGGCAAATAATGACTCTGTTTGGTTTGGTTTGGTTTAGTTTAGTTTGGTTTTTAGAAACAGTTTTCTGTTTTTTTTTTTTTTTGTTGAAAAAATAGAAATTAATTTAATAAAAAAAAATATGAGTATTTTTTTATTTTTTAATATTTTTTTCATCAAATTAACTTCTAGATTTTAGAATTTTTTCCGATATACACATTCTGAAAACCAAATAAAATATGTTTTCTTCTCTCTTTTTTCGAGTAATTTTATCAATAGAGAAATCAGTTACAGTCACAGAATTCGACACAAAATATACATAAGTAGTAAGATTTATCAAAAGTGAATCCAACTAACTGTAAACTCTTGTCCAGAATCAGTTTCTGTATTCGTAGCACAACTGTTTTTACGAAGATGGAAGTAGATAAAATGCAAGGTTCGGGAAGGCGGAGCAGAAGCCGAAGCATAAGCAGGAGCCGGAGCAAGGCAGCTTGGAGCATAGAAGATGTGTTTGGCAGTGCAAACCATACAAGAAGAGCAAGTAGTCGAGCCGACGAAGACGAAGAAGCTCTGAGATGGGCTGCTCTTGAGAAATTGCCCACTTATGCTAGGTTAAGAACAAGTATCATCCAATCTATTACAGAGAGTGAAGGAGGAGAACATGGTAATGATAAGGTGGTCCACAAGGAAGTTGATGTGAGAAAACTTGATGTGAATGATAGACAACAATTCATTGATAGGCTGTTTAGAGTTGCTGAGGAAGATAATGAAAAGTTCTTGAGAAAGTTTAGAAATCGAATCGAGAAGTAAGTTGTTTTCTTTTCTAACTGAATTTTTCTTTTTGTTTTCCTTTATTCTGTCAAGTACTGTTAAATTCGATCCAAAAACACACACACAAAAAAAAAAAAAAAAAAAAAAAGTACTGTTAAATTAAATATATTTATTTATTTATTATTAATATATCCGTATGGTAATCATAGTACATAAGTTTGCATAATCATGTGCAAATTTGTGAATGTCTGTAATTTTCTGTTTGAAAAAAAAAAAAAAAAATTTGTATTTTGAATTTGTATAGATCATACGTCAAACCAATTTGTGCCAATCATTATTTTAGTCATTTTTTGCTTTTTTGTCACTGGTTTTGACTTTTTTTAAAAAAAAAAAATTTCCTAGCCTAGAAAGACATGAAAAGAGAAAAACTTGTGACACTAATTTCTTCTAAGAAAATTACTAGTCCCTTTCAACTTAAGGGCTGATTTGGTAATTGTATTGTAAATTTTTTGTTGATTTTTTTTTAACTATTATTTTAATTTTTTTACAAGTAAGAATTCACTTCTAATTTCTATTTGTAAACTAGAAGTCCCTAATGATATAAACAAATATAAATAAAAAAAAAAGGCAAAAAAGTTTGTTATTTTTTGCTTTTTTGTCACTGGTTTTGACTTTTTTTTTTTTTTTCAAAAAAATTTCCTAGCCTAGAAAGACATGAAAAGAGAAAAACTTGTGACATTATAAGAAAATTACTAAAGAAAAAAAGTTTGAATAAAAAATAAATTTTTTAACCTTCGCCAAACAAAACTTGGGTATTTGATTAATCATTCATCAAACTAAAAATTTCTATCCTTTAATTTTGTCCTTGGTTACTACTACAAAATAAAAAATTATAAATGCATAAAATCTAGTTAAAACAACACGACTCTCTCACATATATATGTCTCATCTCATATAAGAAAGTTATATTTGATTCTGTGATTGAATTCTGTATCCGTAAAAAAAACCGCCATTAAATTAGTATTTTACTTTGTGATTGCAGGGTAGGGATCAACCTTCCAACAGTAGAAGTTCGGTTTGAGCACTTAAACATCGAAGCCGATTGCTACATTGGGAACCGAGCTCTTCCAACCCTTGCAAATGCAACCCGAAACATGGTCGAGTCGGCTTTGAGTTGTGTTGGGATCCAATTGGCCAAGGCTACAAAACTCACTATTCTTAAAGATGCCTCTGGGATGATAAAACCATCAAGGTAATTAAATTCATTAAATTAATTTGTCTCCAATAATATTATTATGATAATTATATATTTTTTTATGAAAAATAATTGGTAAACAAAATGTTTATGCAAAAATACATTTTAAAAATATTAGTAGATGTTTGACTTTGTAATCATTCACAGCTTGTTTATTTATTTATTGAATACAACTCAGTCATCACTTTCAGACATTTTGAACTCAAGTCATCACCTTCAGACTTTTTGGTATTTGAATTAAAAAAATTCGAACAATTTGGGGGTGTTTAAGAAGTGGGTTTTTATGTAGGTTTTTTTAATTGTAATATATTATTGGAGAAATTTTTTTTTATGTTTAGGAAGATAGTTGGATTTTTTTGTGGTTAGATGTGATGTTTGTGAGAGAAAAAGTGAAATGATTATAGGGTTGGATATAATATTTTGTTTGTATTTATTTTTTTTTGATTTTGTAAAATTTTTATCTTGTAGTGAAAAAAGTCAAAAAAAAATTCCAAACCCAAGTTCCCAAACACTACTCCCAAACCCAAGTTCCCAAACACCACTTAAAAAAATCCCGACATAACATTGTTTTCCAAAGAAAACTGATTACTTTTTACTTGTTGGGCTATTAAGGGTATGCTATTATGCAAACAAAATTTATGTAAAAAAAATTATTCAAAATAATATGATTTATTTATATTCAGCAATTTTATATACCAAACAAAAAATAATCAGAAAAATACCCACAGTTTGAAATCACAAAAGTGCACTTTTCTTGAATATATTCCATTTCTAATTTATGGTAAATTGAAAAATATATCACTTTAATTTATAATTTAAAAAATATAATTGTCACATTATTCAGTGTAATGTTTTTTAATATTACTAATCATATAGTAATGATCTTGATCATTTATGCTATAGGATGACACTTCTATTAGGCCCACCTTCTTCTGGGAAAACAACCCTACTGTTGGCACTGGCTGCAAAGTTGGATCCAAGCTTAAAGGTCAGTTCCAAGTTTCCATGACCCTATATGGGGGACAAGATTTTTTAAAAGTGGATTCACTAATAAATTTTGTAAAACTTTATTTGTTTGATTTTCAGTTTGTAGCAAAATTGTATTACTAAAATTTAATTAACAATCTTAGTGATTAATTATGAAAGCGAATATAATGTAACAGGTAAAAGGAGAAGTCACTTATAATGGGCACAAACTTAAAGAATTTATACCACAGAAGACATCGGCATACATTAGCCAAAATGATGTTCATGTGGGTGAAATGACCGTCAAAGAAACCCTAGATTTCTCTGCAAGGTGCCAAGGAGTTGGGACTCGATATGGTACCTAATCAATCATTTCTTAAACCTAATTTCAATTTTTTTTTTCCTAGTAAAACATTTGGTTTTGATTGTGTATTTGATTGTTGATGAATAAAATTATAGATCTCCTATCTGAGCTTGCAAGAAGGGAAAAAGATGCTGGCATTTTTCCGGAGGCCGAGGTCGATCTTTTCATGAAGGTAATTTTGCAAGATTACAAAATGGTTAATGGTTTGGCTGGATATTGTTTTCCAATGTTCATTAACTGTATAGTTATGCAAATATTTTCATTTTCATTTATTTATTTATTTATTCCTCATATATATGTATCAGGCAACGGCAATGCAAGGAGTTGAAAGCAGCCTCATTACCGATTACACCCTTAGGGTAAGTTGAACACTTAATTTACGATTTTACCCTTTGCGTGCAATTTGAAAAAAAATATGTAAGGAATTAGAATACTACTTCATAATTCATAGACTAGCTAGCCATCCTATTAAGTTTGAAAAAAGATCCATCCACAAAGTCGAATATAAAATTTTCCATCCTAGCTCATAGAGTAACATGCCATCCTTTTTAAGTTTGAGAAAAGATGCGTGCGGGACCTGGATACAGAATTCTACTTCGTAAGTCATAAATTAGCATGCCATCATTTTAAATTGAAAAAAAGATATATGCATATAATTAAACTGTCGAACACATCCAATTACATGCTGTGACTGAATTATGTGCATGGTGAATTACTGCTTTAACTTCTCTATATGACTTTTTATTTAGTTAATTAGAGATTGTTGACAAAGCCATCACCAACTCTACTCATGTTTTAAGATGTTTTGTAATAGCTTTCTCCGTCAAAGATCTCTGCTTACCTACTATATATGTGGGTTGTTGATGGATAAATTGAGAGACTAATGGATTCTTTGTTTTTTTAAAGACTTTTGGTTGGTGAACAACTGTTTTTTAAATATAAAAACTATAGCATTTACCTATTCAAATGTTTTTCTTTTCCTAATATGTAATTTATTTACTTATTTTTGTTAACTGAACTAATACAGATTCTTGGACTGGATGTGTGCCGAGACACTATTGTTGGGGATGAAATGATGAGAGGAATATCAGGAGGACAGAAAAAGAGAGTAACAACAGGTTGGTTGATTTCGTCTTTTTCCATAGTTGTCATCAAGAAAAAAAAAGAAGGATTAATTAGTACCAAAAAAATCCAAAATTATTAAATATTACGGTAATATCACATAACAATATTGTCAATCGATTAGAATTTTCTCATTATTATAATGGAGAATATATGATTAGTTAGCGGGAGAGAAATGGTGTAAACCTAATCCCATTTACAATTTTTTATTAGCCTGTGATATCAATAAATTGGTGTCACCATTGCTAACAAAGAGAACAATTAGCAACACAAAAATGCATTAAAAAAAAAAAATTATAGAGCTAAAAAGCTAATTTATTGGCTACAAAAAAGTTAATATTAAAATCCTAATTTTGTTTGGCACATTTTTGACTTTTTAATGTTTTTTTTGAATAAATTACAAATACACTCTTTAAAATTTAAATACATCAAAAAATGAATATAAATTATACATTTTATATTGTATACATCAAAAATTTAAACCCACCAACCAAGATAAATATAGTAGAATGAGTAAAATGTGCTATTTGCAGCTTCAAAATTCAAAGGAGGATAGAAATGAATTGTATTGACCAATTCCTTACCAACCCCCTCATGGAGATCACGCATAGTAGTACCACTATTCTCATCCCAAAAGCAAGACTTGTATTAATTTATCAATTCTAAGGCCTAGTAAAAGGTTTTATGCAATTATTTGCTGTCAAAATCATCCCCCCAAAAAATCATTTGTAAGAGTACTATACTTTCTGGCACAGCTAAGACAAAATAGGTCTGTTCTCACTACAGCACGACACAAAACACTATTCCAACAACTATTTGTTGACATCACACACATGTTTAATAAAAGAATTTGACTTTTTTTGAATTTGAAGTCTTCAATCCATACCTAAATTAAAGAGAAGTCCTTATTGATTTAACGTGAGTTTATTTTTTGCGTGAACAAAACATATCTTTTTTTTAGTGGTGCGATATGGATTTCTTTTGTTTCAAAATAATAGTTTTTTTTGATAAATTTAATTTTTTTGGTAGTATAATTATTGTATTTTAAAAATATTGATTTTTCAAAATTACCTTTTGATAGTATATCTTTTGAGGAATATCAATATCATAATTGTATTTTTTATGTTGTTATTGAATTTAAAAGAATGGCAAAATGAAAAATTTATATTATTTTTGTACCTGACTTTTGAAAATGGACTAATATTTTGAAACAATGAAAAATAAAATAAGGGACTAATATTTTGAGTCGGAGGGAGTACCAATTTATATACTAATTAATGTATTAATATAGTTATGATATTATCATTTTAAAACTATGACTTCACTCATTATACAAATTATAAAGAATCAAAACCTTTAAATTGTGTCACATCATTCGTTGATATACTAATTGGTATATTAATTGATACATACATTGCCTAAAGTAATAAGAATTTTTATTTTAAATGAAATTCATCACACTGTAAATAAAATTTATTATATTATTTTAATGCACAACAGGGTGTGTGTTCACACCTTTTGTTCACTCGTTTTTCCTGAACTGTGATGTGAGATAAGAGTTGCACTTTCAAAGTATCTTTCACTATTTAGGATCTCCTCAAAAAAATAAAAGTAAAAAGAAGAAGAAGCTATTTATGGATGAATTTCACTTTTCCTTTTTCTTTTTTAAACCTCCTACAAATACATGGTGTATAAGAGGATTTTTGAATTTTGACATTTTTATAATTTAGTACGAATTTTGACAATGTAAGAAGTTTTATTATAATTCGACTTCTAACCCAATTATGTCAGGACTTGATCCATCAAGCGAATGAAGTATTATCGTATACTAAACTAACATTTAATATCTGTATTCGAGTCTTATCATTTTAAATGCAATTTCCCTTACTTATTCCCCTCCTACCAAATAAAAAAAAAATATTGCGCCCACAAAAACAATATTAATGAATGGGCTTTGGTTAATGCAGGAGAGATGATTGTTGGGCCTACTAAGACACTATTTATGGATGAGATATCAACGGGCCTAGACAGCTCCACAACATTTCAGATTGTGAAGTGTTTGCAGCAGATTGTGCACCTCACCGAGGCTACGGTCCTGATGTCCCTACTCCAGCCCGCTCCTGAGACGTTTGATCTGTTCGATGATATCATACTCTTATCGGAGGGTCAAATTGTCTATCAAGGCCCACGAGAAAACGTGGTTGAGTTCTTTGAGAGTTGTGGATTCAAATGCCCGGAGAGAAAAGGAACCGCTGATTTCTTACAAGAGGTAATCATATAATTAGCATCATTCTAATATGGTAGGTTTTGCCATACCATATCATAGAAGCCAAAGCCCAGGCCTGCAATAATAACAGTGATGGGCTTATAGGCCTACATAAGTTTGTATACATATGAGACCGAAAAGCCCACATAATTGCTATTAAATGGCAAATGTGAAAACAAAAAATTTTGATTTTCTTTTGTCTTTAGTGATTAATTTTAAAAATTGTCAAAATAGATTAAAAAAAAATTTCAAAAAAAAGTTCACTAAAGATTAAAAAAAAATTAAAATCTTTATCGTCTTTTGTGAACTTTTTTTTCAAATTTGATCCAAAATTTTAAAATTACTTTTTCTAGTCTAATAGGACCTAAAAAGTAAAATTTTTGATAATAGTAATTCTAGATTTCCAGATTTTTATTCAAAAAACAGAGTATGGTCCATATTATTTCTAAATATGGACCCCATAAGAATTAAATCTAGGTACAATTCTGGGTACCTGTAATTACTGACGTAAAATTTTTTTTTACCAAACCCCACTAAAAAAAATTGTGTTTTTGTCATAGGTTACCTCAAGGAAGGACCAAGAGCAGTATTGGGCCGACAAAACCAGACCATACACATTCATCTCAGTCACTGAGTTTGCCAACCGATTCAAACGATTTCATGTGGGCCTGAGGCTCGCAAATGAGCTCTCAGTCCCATACAACAAGGCCCAAACCCACCAAGCCGCTCTCGTCTACAAGAAATACACAGTCCCAAAGAGAGAACTTCTCAAGGCATCATTTGACAAAGAATGGCTGTTGATCAAGAGAAACTCTTTCTTCTACGTCTTCAAGACCGTCCAGATCATCATCGTGGCGATCATCGCATCAACGGTGTTTCTACGGACAAAAATGCACACGAGGAATGAAGAAGATGGGCTTGTCTATGTTGGTGCACTTTTGTTCACCATGATCATCAACATGTTCAATGGTTTCGCTGAAATAGCTCTCACTATACAAAGATTACCAGTGTTTTACAAGCAACGAGACCTTCTCTTCCACCCACCTTGGGTTTTCACTCTCCCAACTTTCCTACTCCGAGTACCAATATCAGTGGTTGAGTCCATTGTTTGGACAGTCCTGTCATATTACACCATTGGATTTGCCCCTGAAGCTAGCAGGTAATCATTTTTCAACCATATTTCAAGTTCTCACCACATCATGCGATTAAAAATGTACTAAGAACATGAAGACCAAAAATTTAGAGCTCCATTTCATCTCTGAGAGCCAGAGAAATAGATAACTTTAAGCAATTCCAATATTTCTTATTGTTTTTCCTGATCTTCTCAGCAGCCAAATAATGCATAAAGACTATCAAGTCTCTTTTAATTGATGAACTAGAGTTTTCTTCTTATATGGGATACTTACTGTGTTTTCAGGTTCTTCAAGCAACTGTTGGTGGTCTTTTTAATCCAACAAATGGCTGCTGGGATTTTCAGGCTCATTGCCGGAGCCTGTAGGACCATGATCATCGCCAGTACCGGTGGAGCTCTAACTCTCCTCCTTGTGTTCCTGCTTGGTGGTTTCATCCTTCCCAAACGTAAGTGCAAGTCCAAATAATAATTTCCAAAAGACTTACACAAAAAACAAAGAAAACAAAAACAATGACAACACAAATATAGTGATGTTTTTGTGGTTTAAGTTTGCCTAATGAAATCACAACAGTTTTCCACCAATCCTGCAAATTATTGTATTATGGAATGTAGCTGTTTTTTACTACATTAATTTGACTTATGGAGAATTGTTTCCTTTATTCCAGATCAAATTCCGTCATGGTGGAGCTGGGGTTATTGGGTATCACCATTGACCTATAGTTTCAATAGTCTGGCTGTAAATGAGATGTTTGCTCCAAGGTGGATGAACCAACGGGTATGTAGTTTCTACTATCCTACCCTCCTTGTGATTTTCTTTGTCATTCTAGTGAGAAAGAGAGAGAAGCTTGACTGTTTTATACAACAAAGAATGCTCCTAAACAATGAAGCATAGGTACTTCAAAAAGCCGTTGTATTAGACACATATCCTGTACTAGTACTTTGTGTGATAGTTCTATATGCATATCGAGTACATGAAAAGTATTCCAATTTTTTTTTCTCTTAATTTTTGTTGTATCCCTAAAGGTACCTAGTGTGTACTCAAGCCGCACCTCAGTCAAATTAGTTTTTTTTTTTTTTTTTTCTGGGGACATAGGTGAATTTAGTTTAATAAACTTTTTTTTCTTTTATATTCTTAGCATAATTTTAAAATTAAGTTTTGATTTGTAGTTTCTTTTTAATATAATGACATTTAATTTTGATTTATATCTTACTTTTTGACATTAAAAGATGGACTGTATGTTGGATTTTTTGCTTTAATCCAAATTCAAAATATATATTATTTTTTTACCACGTAACATAATTAGTTGTATCCGTGTCCTACCTTTTATTTTTTTATAGATTTAACCATATCCATGTACCCGTTCGTGTGCTTCATAGTTCCTAACCAAATTCTATTTTGTTACAGGCTTCAAACAGTACGATCGCATTAGGTGTGGCGGTGCTAAATAACTTCGATGTCTCTCCAGAGAGAAGGTGGTTTTGGATTGGAGCAGCAGCACTTTTGGGGTTTGCTGTTCTCTTCAATATTCTCTTCACTCTTGCTCTTATGTACTTAAGTCGTAAGTTTCTAACATCTATGTTCAAAATAAACTGTGAATTTTCTCTCTTCATTGAGGTAACTCATATCACAATATACTCTTTTGTCCAATGAAATAGCTCCTGGAAAGCCACAAGCTATAATCTCCAAAGAAACAGCTGGGGAAATGGAAGCTGACCAGGAAGAAACTAAAGAAGCGCCGAGACTTAGAACAAACAGATCAAAGATAGATTCAGTCCCTCGATCTTTATCTGCTGCTGACGGGAACAATTCAAGTAAGAAACCTAAACATATAACCCAATACCAATCTAACATCAATAACATTTATAGCAATTTCAGAGTTCTTTACAAGAGAATAATTTTCAGGAGAAATGGCAATCCGGAGAATGAGCAGTCGATCCAATGCCAATGGACTAAGCAGAAATGAAGATTCAAGTCTTGATGCTGCACGTGGAGTTGCTCCCAAGAGAGGAATGGTTCTTCCCTTCACTCCCCTCGCCATGTCCTTTGACAGCGTAAAGTACTTTGTGGATATGCCACCAGTAAGTATACCTTTTTCATCTTTCACTCCTAGTTTAGCTCAAATGCCACTACTACACAATCATTTGTCGCATTCTAGTATGACTAAAGAAGATCGCTTTCAAATGAATTTTTAGAAACTCAAATTAAAATCCAATTAGTAAAACAAATTGTGTTGATATCAATAGGAGATGAAGGAACAAGGAGTAACCGAAGACAGGCTCCAATTACTTCGCGAAGTAACCGGTGCATTTAGGCCCGGTGTCTTGACTGCCCTGATGGGAGTCAGTGGGGCTGGAAAAACTACACTCATGGATGTTCTAGCGGGAAGGAAAACAGGTGGTTACATCGAAGGTGATATCAGAATTTCTGGATTCCCCAAGATTCAAGAAACATTCGCTAGAATTTCTGGATACTGTGAGCAAACCGACATCCACTCACCACAAGTCACCATTCGTGAATCTTTGATTTACTCAGCTTTTCTTCGACTCCCTAAGGAAGTCAGCAAGGAGGAAAAGATGGTAACAACTATCATTCATATTGCCTTTTTTATGAAAAGATTTTAAGAAGTATAAGGTCAAGTACTAAGATGGTTTGTTTCTGTATTTCCTTTTTAGGTTTTTGTGGATGAAGTGATGGATCTAGTTGAACTAGACAACCTCAAAGATGCCATTGTAGGGCTTCCAGGAGTTACAGGTCTATCAACAGAACAGAGAAAGAGATTGACAATAGCGGTGGAGCTAGTTGCTAATCCATCAATCATATTCATGGATGAACCAACTTCTGGTCTTGATGCAAGAGCAGCAGCTATTGTTATGAGAACTGTGAGAAACACAGTGGATACAGGGCGAACTGTTGTTTGCACAATCCATCAACCTAGTATTGATATCTTTGAAGCATTTGATGAGGTAATAACACATGCTCTCTCTTTCTTGCTCTCCAAGTACATCTATATTATCTATCTCTCTAAATACATCATATTATATTGTGCATCAGCTGCTACTGATGAAAAGGGGAGGACAAGTGATCTACTCAGGACCACTGGGACGGAATTCTCATAAGATCATTGAATATTTTGAGGTATTTCACATTCTTGAACTATTTATTTTCTTTTTTTAACATATAAAAAGACAAATACAAATAATTCAACTATTTATACTTGTTTCAGGCAATTCCTGGAATTCCCAAAATTAAAGAAAAATACAATCCAGCAACATGGATGCTAGAAGCGAGCTCAGTTGCTGCAGAAGTCCGGCTTGGAATTGATTTTGCCGAACACTACAAATCATCATCCTTGCATCAGTAAGTGAAAAGTTTAGTTATAGCAATGAAAGTGTTTTATTGGTTTTAAAATCAATAGGGTTCAAACTAATACATGGGCAAAAACAGACGAAACAAGGCTCTAGTGAAAGAGTTGAGTGTACCTCCACCAGGGGCAAAAGACCTCTATTTCACATCACAATTTTCTCAGCACAATTTGGGGCAATTCCAATCCTGCCTATGGAAGCAGTGGTTGACTTATTGGAGAAGCCCCGATTACAACATTGTGAGGATGTTCTTCACCTTAGCTGCTGCCCTTATGGTTGGAACAGTTTTCTGGCAGGTTGGCAAAAAAAGGTATCCATCTAATTCTTACAAAATTCAAACTCCATCTCTCAGTCCATTGGTAACAAGACTCAAAAGTTATCGCTAATTCCTCGTCTATAATTTATTTGATTCAGGGATAACACGGGTGATTTGACCACGATCATAGGGGCAATGTATTCTTCTGTCCTGTTTGTTGGAATTAATAACTGCGGGACAGTACAACCAGTAGTAGCTATTGAAAGAACCGTATTTTATAGAGAAAAAGCTGCTGGGATGTATTCTGCATTACCATATGCCTTGGCACAGGTGAGAATTTTCAAATTTAACATCAAATGAGAGATTGAAAATACAGATTGTGAAGCTTGCATTCTATCTTTTCATCTCTGAGTTCACTTCTTTTAAATTAGGGTGGGGAATTCTTGTTTCTTAGATATTTGATTGCTATTTCTTCACATTAGATTGAAAATTTTGTGCATGAGCACCATACATCAAATGGCTACCTGAGCTTGGGTATGGATCTATATTTACAATTTTCTTCAATCCTAATCACAGAGTTAATTGTTATCTGATATGCAGGTAATCACTGAATTACCATACGTGCTTGTTCAAACCATCCTTTTTAGTCCTATAGTGTATTCTATGGTGGGCTTCGAATGGGCAGTGCATAAATTCTTTTGGTTCTTCTTCGTCACCTATGCCTCTTTTCTCTACTTCACATACTATGGAATGATGACTGTTTCCATCACACCAAACCACCAAGTAGCATCTGTTTTGGCAGCCGCTTTCTATGCACTCTTCAATCTTTTCTCGGGTTTCTTCATCCCTAGACCGGTAATTTCATTTTCCTCAGAAGCAGTTTTTATTTATTTATTTAAAAAAATATAAATTTTAACATAGTTTAATTATTTTTTTCTTTGGTATTGAAAATTCAGAGAATTCCGAAGTGGTGGATATGGTATTATTGGATTTGCCCGGTAGCATGGACAGTTTACGGGTTGATCGTGTCACAGTATGGTGATGTGATGGACCCCATTGCAGTTCCCGGGATGCAAAATTCCACTACTGTCCAATGGTACGTGAAAAATCATTTTGGGTATGAACCAAACTTCATTGGACCAGTTGCTGGAGTTTTGGCTGGTTTTGCAGTGTTCTTTGCCTTCATGTATGCCTACTGTATTAAAACTTTGAACTTCCAAATGAGGTAGAAGATACTATTGAGTCAAATTGCCACCTGTAGATATGTATTTGGATTCATCCAAGATTTGAAACTTGCAGCAAATTGGATGATATGAGAATTCATATTTTAGGATAAAATATGTTGTTTAGCAAGTTGTATACTTACCACCTAGTAAATATCAGGGATATATTGATAAGTTTTGAGGATCATATATATGTATAGTCATTGGATCCTAATGATGTAAGGGAAGAAATTGCTTTCTTTGTGGACCATTAAAAAATTATTAGTTCAGCCAACTTCAAGCTACATCATCAAATGGTTTTCGTTTCTTCTTTAGTGTTTTATTCATTTATTTATTTACTTTCTAATTTATGCCTTGTTTAGATCAATGTATATATCATATATATAGTAGTAACAACATAGTTTCTTAAAAAACTCAAACTTCAAGAGATTTCCAAATTCTGCAATCAAGATGAGAATCAAGAAAGCAAATTGAATTTCAAGTACTAATGAACAAGAGATATCAACCACCAGCCAATTTGGTGAGGTCTCCTATTGGATTATCAACCTAATGTGAAGGGCTCAAGTCCTTTTGTTGAGTAGTGAAGAAGAAGAATATATGAAAAGATGCACAATGCAGAGACCTTGCCTGAGCAAAGTAGAACTTAAAGTGACTTAATCTGATGGGTTTAGAAGAGTATAATGTTTCTAGGAAGATGAGGTTGTTAAAAACTGACAGGGCTAAGACTAGGATTTAAAACTCCCCAATCAACAAACATTTCTTGATCACTGACTCAACTAACAAAGCTTTCTCTGAGTAATAATCAAGGGTTTTGCTGTCGATCTTCGTTTCTTAAACTATAAGCCATCATTTTTGCAGCACCTTCATTTGAAGCAAATTCCTTTGAAGGAAATCTAGTCTTAGTTACACAAATTTAAACTATAACAACAAAATGGGTAGGTCTCAAAAACACAATTTGTTTCCTCATGAGCACTAGTAATTGCTAGCAGTATATGAAAGGAAAATATGCAAATGAGTTTAACAAGCATTTTTATAAACAATATATGTGCACCCAACAACACATAACACATATATAATTGCTAGCAAATGGGTGGGTCTGAAAAACCCAATTTGATTCCTCATGAGTACTTGTAATTGCTAGCAGTACATGAAAGGAAAAATATGCAAATGAGTTTTAACAAGCATTATATGTGCACACAACATACAACACACATACAGCAAAATTCATCTCAGAATGAACTGGGTTTTGCAATTGGAATATTTAAATGTTACATCTCATTGAATCAAGCCCAAACACCAGAATTGATAATGCAAGATCATAGAAAGATCACCAAAACCATGTATCAAAAAAGAAAGACTGTCTGGGTGTACCTGTTGAGATCATGGAGGGCCCTCTTCCACATTTGGAGAGCCACAAAACAGAACTGGCAACAGTGGAAATTATTTTTTTGAATTTTCTACAATTGTTTTCGAACTTTTTATTTTTATTTATTTATTTATTTTTATGGAAACACAAAAGCCGAAAATATATATAAAAAAAAAATAAAAAATGAAAGCAATTTCAAAACAATCCTCAAGTTTTATTTTATTTTATTTTCTTTCTCTTTTAGATTTTAATTTCTTGATCATTGTGATTCTTGAGAATTATGTTGGATCATCTGCATAGTATGAGAGAGAGCTTAAAATTATTAATTTTTTCACCTCATATTTTTGTCAAAAAATAAAAAAGTTACTATAATATTCTTAAGATTTATTTAAAATACATATTATTCCCTATGATTATAAAAATTACAAATATTTCCTTACTAGAATTTGTCATTTAATGGAGTAATTAGAAAATATACAATTCTCAACTACCATCTTATATAATAATAAAATTATAAGAATGGTTTACCGAAATATATTTTTAATACCATTAAAAATTGTTGATTGGTTTAATAGTTGATAAATGAAATGAGGCATTTGTTATGTGATTACAAATTTGAAAGAGTATGATATAATTTCCATAACCATATGAAGAAAAAATCTATATTTTAAGCAAATTTCAAATTTAATCAACATTTAACAATAGTAGATTTTAGGATAAATTACAAATTGTTTGGATAGAGGCTATTTGGCTAAAATAGCTAAAAAAAGATAAAATAGATTAAAATAGTCAATAAGACAAAATGTTATATTTAACACATAATCATTCACTTTTTATTTTACAACCGTCAAATCAACTAAAAAAATGACTATAATTCAAAATATAATTTTTTTAACCAAGATAAATAATTAACAAATTAAATAACTAATTAAAACAATTCATTTTGAAGCGGGGTCTAAGCCTAAGCGTGAAATTGAAGTGAATGTGAATGTTGACCAAAATAGTAAGAGCTCGTTTGGGATGTGAGTTGACTTTTTGATTTTTTTAGTCTAGAACTAGACCAAAATAGTAAGAGCTCGTTTGGGATGTGAGTTGACTTTTTGATTTTTTTAGTCTAGAACTAAAAAGTTTCGTTTGGAATAGATTTTTTAGTATTTTTGACTTTTATGAGAGAAAAATTAAAATAATTATAGGTTGGATGTAACATTTTGTTATATTTAACCAAAATAATCAATTTTGTCCTATATAACTATTTTAGTCCAAATGTGTATCCCAAATGGGAGTTGAGGTGCCTGCTATGCACCAAATACAGCAGGCATTGTTGTGCGGCCTTATAGGCTTATTTCGGGGTCTATTTTGATAATCCGAACCGTTCACATTTTAAAGTATATCGAGTAGAATATATCTGTAAAAAATTAAGTTAATTGGATATTATTAATCCTTTCATCCACTCACATTTGTATCTTTAAAAATAAATGACATTGTGATTTAAAGTATTAAAATGAATACAAATGTGAGTTAATGAAAGGATTAACGATATTCGATTAACTTAATTTTTTACAGGTATATCTACTCGATGTACTCTAAAATCCGAACGGTTCAAATTATCAAAACAAACCCCGAAATAAACTCATAATGCCACACAACAGTGCATCAACTCCTCCTAAACGAAGTCTAAATCTCTTTTCATAGATTTCTAATGTGGGATTGATGCAATCATAATGTTGGCCAACATATAAATGTCAATTACTCCCTCCATCTCCAAATAATAGTTCTTTTTAGATAACTTAACTTTTTTAATAGTACAATTATTGCATTTTAAAAATATTAATTTTCTAAAATTACCCTTTAATAGTGTATTTTTTAAGAAATATTAATTGTCATAATTGTACTTTTTGTCTTATTAATAAATTTAAAAGTAGGCAAAATAAGAAATTCATATTATTTTAATCCTTAATTTTTGAAAATAGATTAATATTTTAGGACAATGAAAAATAAAATAAATGACTAATATTTTAAGACGAAATGTGTACAATTTTCCAAAATCATGGTTAAAGGTGAACGTGGGTTGTGATGATATAAATATAAATGTTCGTCACGTTTAACACATATTAATTGATTTTTCGCCCGCTTTGTGCGTGAGGGTCGTATTGTTCTTGGTTGGGAATAATAGCAAATAGTGAGGCGACAAATATTTAAGATATATGTGATTTAATAAGTACTTTTTTTTTTTATACTAGTTTCATGTCAATCTCATTAGATAACTATGATGAATTTTGACCATGATACTCTGAGATGTTCAAAGTATTTGTTAAAAGTTTAAGTAGGCAAAGATCGAATACAAAACACAATACATTAGTTGAGATAGATCACAAGATGGTCGAACTCCTACAAAAAAGTGTAAGGCATATTTCATAATTCAAATGGATACACGTATCTTTGATTTTTCCCAGCATCACATACTAAAATAAGTTCTACATAATTTATGCTTGCATCTAATCTCAAACATTGAACAAAACTCAATGTAGTGAAAATACTGCTAGCCAGAGTTCAACATGCCACCCATTCTGAGCTTGAAATATAAATAGTACGCTGCTCTTCTCGATCCAATTGGAGATTTTAAAATTTTCAAAGTCTCATCAATGATTTGAAGAATGCAATATAAGGTGAATGGCAATATTTTGCACCCAAAAAAATAATAAATAAAGAAAAAGAAATGAATGGCAAGAGTTTACACAAACATTTAAAACAAATCCTACAAACCATCGATATCAATGTAGAGAAGAAGAAGAAACGAATAGCAAGAGTTTACTCAAATATTAGGAACAATTCCTTACGAACCATGTGAAATTGTCAATGTTGAAACTAAAAATGTGAAATTGTTAATGCTGAAACTAAAAATTGCATGGGGACCTTGACATTTCATCTCAAACCATTGACATTTTGATATCAATGCTAGAACTAAAAAATGCATGGGGACCTTATCTCTTTTGAATACATAGAATCATCAAAGTCATGAGCAACTTAGTAATACAAATTTACTAAACAGTAACATTGTCTCAAAGATCAACATAGAATTCAATAATGAAGTGCGCACCATGTATTTGGGGGTCATAGAATCGGCGCGTGCGTGCGCGCGCACACACACAATAAGTTCAAATATAGCACAAAGATGAGGTTTGGCATGCATTTATATGTTTTTAATTTAAGTGAAAAAGTTTCAGGAGTGAACATTTTATATTTCCTTTGGCAATGGCAACAATTCGTGGCCTCATTGTACCCACTTTTTTTATTCTAACTAAATGGTAATTTGCTCAAATCCCAACTTACCTGGGATTAAAAACATTGCACAATTAGCTTCTTTTTTAAGCAATATATTTCAGGAAATGAAATGACCTCTATTGATCAAGATGCACCATTAAATTAAGCTATTGTCATCTCTAATCAATACAACCCGTGATATTAACCATCACTGTACAATAAAAGCAATATGGTAGTTTTACACGCTAACCATTTTATTCCTGTTATGTATACAGTGTATGTATAACATTTTAATAAAAGCATTTTTATAATTTGCATTATTATTCACTTTGAATCCACTTAATCTTGTAACTTTTTATTGGAATTGGCTCTATATATATGTCACAAAATCTAGAAGTTATAAATAAAAAGGAAAACCTAAGGGGGAAAAAAGAAAGAAGGAGAAGAAGAATCACTAAAAAGCTATCACTATTGGCTGATTTGTAATCAATAAACCGTAAGCATAGACATACTTTAGGAGATTGGGATATGTATAGAATTGGTTATTAAAGACAAGAATTAGAGGGTTATTAAATTCTCAAAATCAATGAGAAATTGAGATATATATGTGAGAATTAAAATAATTTTAATTCAGAAAGAAGAATACCTCCTGCCATGACGTTCAAGCATTTGAATCTTTATCCTTTAATGATCAAATCTTGAATGTATAAAAAATCCACTCACAGAACACTTTTACAGAACCATATGGAAAAAGTGAAAGGAACAGAGTTTCAAGCCTATTCTATTCACAAAACAACATCTGTGTTTGATGGCTATCACAAGCATATATATAGATAGGCTTGGACCCATATCCAAGTGTAACTCCTTATAACTTCCCACTATCAGGGAAGTTGTAAAGTCCCATAAAATCACCATATGGGATAGTGAACAGATATTAGTTACCCATTAGTCATTAAACCAATTAAATATATATAATAAATATATATAATATAAATAAATAAAACAAACATGTGGCATATGGGCCACTTTATGGATATTCTTACATTCTCTCACTTAGCACATTTAACGCACGTTGTTGACTGTCGGGTAACTAATAAACTGATGATGGCCATTAAATAAAAATACCCAAACCTTAGAGGTATAATACATGAATCATGGCAGTTATACTCTATCAATTAAGTATTTCCTTCCATGTATTACATTGTATCACACTTTCAACTTTATGTGGTGTCACTCTTTATGAATAACTTCTAATAAGTTATTCTGGGTCCAATGATCCCTATGGATCAATAGTCCCAATGGACTGCATAGTATCACGAATACTTTAGGTGCACAAAATGATGTTTTTCACTAATAAAAATCAAAATATCATGACAAAACAAAATAAAACAACAACTAGAAAAATTATTGAGCTAACCAATCAGTCTCATGCCCTCAACATATTTTGAAAACACCTTTACAGAAAGACCTTTGGTCATGGGATCTGCAATCATCATATCGGTACTAATATGCTCAATGCTGACTCCTTGCTTCTTAACACGGTCTCGAATAACAAGATACTTTATGTCAATATACTTGCTTCGGTTACCACTTTTGTTGTTGTTAGAGAAGAAAATCGCAGCCGAATTATCACAGTAAACCTTTAGTGGCCTAGAAATTGAATCCACAATTCGAAGCCCTGTGATAAAATTCCTTAACCAAATAGCCTGTGAGGTTGCTTCAAAGCAGGCTATAAACTCTGCTTCCATTGTTGACGATGCAATTATCATCTCTTTGGCGCTCTTTCATGAAACAGCACCGCCTGCTAACAGATAGACATTTCCTAAAGTGGATTTTCTGGAATCTTGACAACCAGCAAAATTTGAGTCTGAATATCCAACCACCTCAAGACAGTCAACATGCTTGTAAGTAAGCATGTAGTCCTTGGTTCCTTTTAAGTACCTCATGATTTTCTTTGCAGCCTTCCAATGTTCCATTCATGGATTACTTTGGTATCTTCCAAGCATTCCAACTGTAAATGCAATGTCAGGTCGTGTACAAACCAAAACATGCATTAAACTGCCTACGGCAGACGCATAGGGAATGCTAACCATTTGTTCCTTTTTCAAATCATTCTTCAGACATTGACTTAAATTGAATTTGTTACCCTTTGAAAGGGGCGCTGCATTAGGAGTGCAATCACTTATCTTGAATTTCTCCAAAACTCTTTCAATGTAGGATTTATGAGATAATCCTAATGTGCTTTTGGACCTATCTCTGTGAATCTCTATGCCAATGGCATAAGAAGCCTCACCCATATCTTTCATTCAAAATTTTGAGAAAAAAATTGTTTAGTATCATGTAACAATCCCAAATCATTAGATGCAAGTAAAATGTCATTCACATATAGAACCAGAAAAATGTATTTGCTCCCACTGACCTTAAGGTATATACAGTTGTCCACAACATTCTCCGTAAAACCATATGAAGTAATAACATTGTGGAACTTTAAATACCATTGTCGGGAAGCTTGTTTTAGTCCATATATGGATTTCTTGAGCTTGCAAACTAAGTGACTATCTTTATCAGAACAGAAACCTTCAGGTTGGGTCATGTATACTTCTTCCTCAAGATCCCCATTTAAAAATGCCGTTTTCATATCCATTTGATGCAGCTCTAAATCAAAATGAGCTACTAATGCCATGATAATTCGAAATGAATCCTTCTTAGAAACTGGAGAAAATGTATTATGACAATTGATGCCTTCTCTTTGAGTGAAACCTTTAGCTATAAGTCTGGCTTTATATCGTTCGACATTGCCATTTGAGCCTTTCTTGGTCTTATAGACCCATTTACAGCCAACCGCTTTAACTCCTTTAGGCAACTCGACAATTTCCCAAACTTGATTCTTAGCCATAGATTCCAACTCTTCCTTCATGGCATCATACCATAATTTAGAATCATCCCTATTCATGGCTTTGGAAAATGAAATAGGATCATCTTTAGGTCCGATGTCAAAATTAGACTCCATTGAGTATACAAAATAATCACCAGAAATTGCTGACTTTCTAGCTCGTGAGGATCTCCTTAATTCTGTAGTCTTAATTGGGACTTGAGCTACAGGCTCTATGTTGACTTGTTCCTCGTGGTGAAAGTTCTTGAATTTATTGATTTTCAAGAATATGGGGTTGATTATCTTGAAAGACAAGCAATTCACCTATATTCATGGGTGTTGTATTCGGATCCCGTGATTCCTTCCACTCTATCTTTCGAGGGTAACTCCCACTAGGGTCAACTTCCTCAATGAACTTAGCATTTTTGGTTTCAACAATTCTAAGTAAATTTGAAGGACAATAAGATCTGTAACCCTTGGAGTTTTCCGCATAGTCTATGAAAAAACCACTAACTGTTCTGGGGTCCAATTTCTTTAAATGTGGGTTATACACCACACCCTCACTTCAACTAGACAACCCCAAACGTGTAAGTGTCTTAAACTTGGCTTCTATCATTTCTATAACTCAAACGATGTTTTGGGAACAACCTTGGATGGAACCCTGTTTAAGATATACACAGCGGTTTTTAAAGCTTCACTCCATATATTTATAGATACATTAGAATAACTAAGCATGCTCCTTAACATGTCCATAAGTGTTCAGTTCCTTCTTTCAACAACACCATTTTGTTGTGGTGTGCCAGACATTGAACATTGTGCAATAATGCCTTCTTCCTTAAGGAACTTAGCAAATGGACCTGGTAATTGTCCCAATTCTGTGTACCTCCCATAATATTCTCCACCCCTGTCTGACCTCACAATTTCAATTTTCTTTTCTGTTTGTGTCTCTACCTCTGCTTTATAAACTTTAAAGGCATCGAGTGCCTCGGCCTTATCAAACATGAGGAAGAGATACATGTATCGTGCGAAGTCATCAATAAATGAGATAAAATATCTCTGACCATTCAGACAAGGTGGAGTAAATGGCCCACAAATATCAGTGTGTATGATTCCGAGAATTTCCTCACTCATTTTGGCACCTTTACTGGTCTTGTTGGTTTATTTTCCCTTTATGTAGTCCACACAAATACCAAAGTTGGTAAAATCAAGAGTCGGAAGGACTTTATCGTTAACCAACGTCTTTATTCTCTCAATGGAGATATGTCCCAATCTCCTATGCCAAAGAATAGAGGAGGACTCGTCAACAATATTACGCTTAATGCCAATATCACCATGCAAGGTTAAAAGATTTTGTTCAAAAACAGGATCCAGATTTTATTTGTACAAACCATTAATTAAAGTACCAAATCCTACAGAAACAGAGTCTTTAAACAAACAAAAATCTGTACCAACAAACTGAAATTCAAATCCAAACGGTACTAGTCTAGAAACAGAAATTAAGTTTTTTGAAAAAAATGGAATGTAAAATGTGTTTTCAAGATCCAAAACAAAGCCATTTTTTAAAACAAATCGGAAAGTTCCAACAACTTCGACATGCGAACGCATCCCATTGCCTGAATAGATGCCTTGTTCACTTCCCGTCGGTGTCCTTAGGCTGAGGAAGCCTTGCACGGTATTAGCAATCTGAATTGTAGAACCCGAATCAATCTACCAATCATATTGATGAGTATTAACAAAATTAGATTCATAACACACAAGAAATATGAGATTACCTTTCTTCTCAATCTCTAAGGACTTAAGACGAGCTGCAATGTCCTTCATTTCCATAATGTGCTCACGCACACTCCTAGAATTGTTATGCTTCATTCCTGATAGTTTGTTTATTAGGGTGCTTGCCAATGCTTTGTCAGAACTAACAAATTGCTCTTCAATAGCCCTCATGTAGTTCTTGACCTTATCAGATGGTGGGATTGAGCCCCTAATGCTCTGGCTAATATGTGACTTTATGAGCATTAGGCTTGAGCGATTGGATCGCTCCCATTTATCATAAGCACTCTTTTCTGCAGCGGAACTCTCGTCCGTGGGTTCAGGAGGTTCATCCACACGGAGTGCCAGATCGAGGTCCATGCACCCTAATGTTAGAAGGATTTTGTCCTTCCAGTCCGAAAAATTATCACCGTTCAAGAATGGAATATAAGATGACTCATTAGATAGTACAGAGGTAGAAATCGCTGCAATTACCAAAAACATTATTAATGCTTTGAAACAATAGCTATAGTCTGAATCAACCAATGTCAAATTCAGTAACAAATCTAAACCTTCCTATGGATAGAGGTCACTAAACTGTATTAGATTTGCTATTACTTTATAATAAAACTAATGGGTTCTGAAATATGTAAGGAAAAGAAAACTCATACCTATGGGTTTAGAGTGTTCAATCCCTTTAATACCCAATCCATTATCTTATTCCAATTAAATTTCATAAATAATTACTTTACTGTAGGACCAAGAAATTATTTATAAAACATAATTGCAATATAAAAATGCCAAATTAATTTTTTAACTTTATGTGATCAAAATACTGAGGATCACATCTTTATGTCTTAAGATGCTGTGGCTACTCTTAAAACAGAATAAAATTTTAAATATGGCATAATTTATTAATGTGAGTAAATCCTGTGGGAACATAATTTTTGAATGACAACACGTGGCCGAGGTGTCACCGAAGTGCCAGCCGAGGTGCCATGTGTCCTGGTCATAACGCCGAGATCATCTTGGCTAGGCCGAGGTTATCTGCGAAGAAACCAGAATCTGAGATAAGCGGATAAGGGACAAGAGTCCTAGAATGGGAGAAGACTTCAGTTTGGATTAAGATAAAACTCTTAGAGAGTTTATCCCAAACCTACTGGGAGTCCAAGATTAGCAGTAATCCTGAGTCCATTGAAGTTAGGCTTCTATTGGGACTAGGATTGTGTTGGCTATAAAAGGAGGCACCCCCATGGGTCTAAGGTATGTCTTTTATGCGTTGTCTAGTGAGTTAAGCACTATTGATTATCTTTGAGAGATATTTTACTGACTTGATCGTCGGAGTGCCCCTGGGTGGACGAACTACCGCCGGAATCTCTTCTTTCTGTTACAGGTCATTCGGGCTTAATCCATTCTGCCAGTGTTCTTTAGCTGAGTGCTTGATTGGCAGTGTGGTCGAAAATTGACACACACAATTTGGCGCCGTCTGTGGGAAAGAAAGGAGAATAGATAGCTAACGACGGACAGAAAGAGAAGGTTGGAGACGACACCCCTACTGAGAGTAGGAAACATATTGACCTTGACGTCGAAAAAGACAACTACAACGAAGAGACTCGTGATAAGAATCATGGAGGAAAAGACGTCGGCCAGGAGGACGGCGTACCGAAGAAATCGGACCGGAGCGGGTATTATAACGAGGACGACCTCCAGGTATGGAAAGATAGATTCCTGCAGAGGGACGACGAGATAAAGAGAATGGTGGACAAATTGGCAGACTTGCAAATGGTCGTCAATTTCATGATGCAGAACAACGTCGTGCAGCCACCGTTCCCGCTACAAGATATGCCGATTCTAGCGGCCAAGAAAGGTGCCCAGAAAGGGGGGTAGGAAATAGTTCCTGCAGTCCCTCAGCATGGCGGGACCAAGGGACATCCTCACCGGCCTTCGCGGGAGATTGGGCATGGAGAATCCCAGAAGACACGTCGAACAAAAGAAATCTGCACCAAAGAACATCGGGATGTTCAAGGGAAGGAACTCTGTTTCGACACGACCAGTGGAGGAAGGTCCAAAAGGACTCTCGATGACACTAGAAGTAGTGCACCAAAGAGGCTGAAATCCGAAGATAGCCGAGCTCTTGGACGAACCAAAGAGGATCTGGGAGATCACTGTAGACGTCCCCGAACGTCCCGGGGGGAATCCCCCGTTTTGTTCGTTTTGGGCTCACTACAGTTCGGACTCAATGTTGTCACGGTTTTTAATCTGATCTCACAATGTGCAATGTGAGATTGATAAATCACCAAAGAGTCCAAATCCGGCAAATCGTTTTGGAAAACAGATTTTTGTAAAGAAGTGCCAAACATGGACTGCTTTGCCAGATACAGAGTCGTCACCTAAATATTTATTTTGGGGGAATTTAGGAAACCTTGAATCGTTGCCTAAGGCCATGTGTCCGTCATCACCAAAGTTGCTTCGGCTCGGGAACTTGGGTACGATTGGGGAAGGTCAGCTATGAGCACCCCCGCTCGCCCGATCAAAGATCGGCCTCTACTAACCATGATATCGAGTTTTGAAAACGTTATGTGGTCTTATTCCGGTTATTAGCCTAGATTTACTATGTGATGCACACAGCATACAAGTATAGACTGGGTCGCCTGAATTGGAACAAAATATTGCATGTTTGTTTTGAAAATGGTTTGCTACTCGTAAGTAGGCTAAAATACAGATTTTGCCACCCTCGGGTGGGCTTAGAAAAACATGATTTTGCCATTATTTAGTGGGCTTAAAACTCACAGTCAATGCATTTTTCCAATTCAGATAATTAAACCTTTACCCACAGGCATTCAGGCAGATATATCACATAAGCACATAGCCTCATGGTAAGCATACTATCATGACAACACTCACACACATATAAGGATGCTAAAGCGTAAATGCTTACCGAGTACTCCAAGCCAAAACAGAAACTAGTTAGTAATCAAATGCATGATCCTAGTTCATGTTAAGATGATTAATGCAACACATGCAAGATGCAACTACAATAGGCTCGGCTATTCTAAGATGGCATATGATGATGCTACAGCTAACGCGTATTCAACTTAGAATTGAAATACAAATGCAGTTAGTATGATGCGCCGAGCCCGGTGCATGCAATATAGGTGAATGATGCAAACATGCAAGCATAAGTATGCTAATTGAAACATGCCCTAATCTAACCATCGTAAGCTGGTAAATAAAAGGGAGAAAGACGTGGGGTTGGAAGACATACATCACACACACGCACGCTTATTACATAATTTTCCCTCTCTCGGAGGGTCCAAATAAATAATACAAACTGAATAAATAATTAACTACTCTAGCTAATTAAATATTACAAACCCTTAACTAATTAACAAATTAATTAAACTATTTAGAGCAGTAAAATGGCCTCAAGAAGAGGGATGCATGCAAGCTCGGATTGGTTTCGCCCGGAAATCCATTGCCATGCCACGATTGCCTCTGTCTGCACTGTTTTGTATCTCTGAAAATAGTGCCAACCTCTATGACACTTCTGAACTGCCTTAGAGACATGCTGAGAGGTCATCGACCAAATGGAAAGGCCACCGACCATCTGTAACTGGTCATCAACCATTAATGAAGCCATCGGCTGGATTTTGGTGGTCGGTCGGCACTGCAAGTAGCCGACCGGCCATTTCTTTCTGCAGAACATTGGTTTTGCTGCAACAGAGGACAGATAGTGCATGGCATAGGATTTTCAAAGCAAAATGTTGCACGACCACCCTCTCCATCATGTTATGGACTCAAGGGAGTGTGGCCCTTGGTCCTCGGGCCACCAATCACGTATTTCGATGCATGATGGCCAAGGGAGCCGAAGTATGCAATTTCAATGTCAAATGGAATGCACACAAAATACATAAAGGACCCAACCTTTATCATGGTTGATCAAGAGGCAAGGCATGCATGCAAAATGCAATGCAACAAGCATGCCAAACCATGAAATATAGCTCAAGCATGCAACATGGACGTTCAAGCATACAAGGCAAACATGTGACAACATGTAAAGGAACAAGATATGCAATCATTCAAGCATGCCAAATGCAATTAAACATGCAACAACATGTTAATGAGCCAAGTATGTAACAACATGCAAGGCAAGCATGCAACAACATGCAAGGGATGGTCTTAAACCAATATGGGTAGCTCTCAAATAGGCCCAAATCAGTGGCCAAAATGATGCGACAAAGGCATGAAAACACACACACAAGCATGCATACACAAGGGCCTAAACATGGAGCATAAGACATCAACTTTTCAAAGCATTGAAAGGATGGAAAATGCAAGCATACAAGAATGAAACATGGACTGAAATATGATCTCCAATGATGCCAAATCACGAGAATAAGCCAAGTAAAGCATGCTAGTGACCCATACACCCAAAGCTAGCAAGCTAAAATGCATGATGGCTATACAAATCATGGCAAACATGATCAAAACAACCAAAACCAGACCTCAAGCATGGCAAAACAAAGCTAAAATCTTCATGAGGTTAAGCCAAAACATGTTAGCATGGTGGTCTAAACACAAGGTGAATGTTAAGGCAAATGAGAGGATTTGCAAAGCAAGTACATGAAGCATGTAAGAGCCAACTAAACCAGTAAAATTAAGAGCTATAACATGCCAAATAAAGCCTAAAAACCCACTGAAACATGATCAACACATGTTAGAATGAGGTGCTCCTTTGGAAAGCCATGCAAGGGGTTGCTCTACACATGCAAGAGGCAAGCATTAAATGACAAAAACAGCTCTGGAAAAGGTTCAAGCAGGCCCTAAAACTCACTGAAAAATGTCTGAACCAAGCTCAAGAAGTGTGCAAATAAGGGCTCCTTTGAAGGGCCAAAAATGCTAGTAAACAAGACAACAAAGGAGAGGGTCACCCCTCTCCTTCTTAGGACCTCAAAACACCATCCCCACCACTGAAATCCCTTTGGATTTCAGTGGTGGGAAGGCCAGTACAAGGTGGTCCCGAAACTCACAAAAAAGGCACAAAAATGAAGCCAAATAAGGCCTAAGAGGGGGTAAAAAATCTCAAACACAAAAGTGAGCTCAAGAAGTGTGCAAATAAGGGCTCCTTTGAAGGGCCAAAAATGCTAGTAAACAAGACAACAAAGGAGAGGGTCACCCCTCTCCTTCTTAGGACCTCAAAACACCATCCCCACCACTGAAATCCCTTTGGATTTCAGTGGTGGGAAGGCCAGTACAAGGTGGTCCCGAAACTCACAAAAAAGGCACAAAAATGAGGCCAAATAAGGCCTAAGAGGGGGTAAAAAATCCCAAATACAAAAGTGTTCTTAAACAAACTTCAAAAGAAGCTCAAAATAAGACTTTTTTTAGTTTATGACAAAGCTCGAAAATGTCTGCAAGTATGGCTAAAAGATGAAGCAAGATAAAGACCAAAAGAGGGTAAAGTGTGTTACCCTTGTAGCTTTAGCAAAACCAGCGGCTTTGAG